TATCACCTTCTGCTTTACCCCTGCTGTCCATGGGTGGTACAGTCCAGAACTGGCCTATTAATGAAGCAAATATCACGAGGTTATTAACCATCCAGTGATCTTGTGAAACACTCCATCTTAAAATTGAGCATGTAGAGCTATGGAAAGAGCACGTGAATCAACATGCTTTACAGTGCAGATTTGTTTCTGTATGTAAAGAATACCTGGTCAGGCACCACTTGGCACAGAGCGAGATCCAAGAAACGAAATTCAAAGCAAGGTCCCCTGAAAGAAAAGCATTAATAAAGACTTTCCTAGTGTCACAACTGCACTGAATTTTGAAGTATAGTCACAGGTGGTAGGTGATACCCTGAGGAAGCAGAAACTGCTACGTGATGTATGTAATAACAGTTGAACGTATGAGGGGTGGTCCACATGCCCGACTGCAGAATCTCCTCCAATGGCTGACAAAAACGAGAAGCAAGAGAAGAGGTGATGTGTCGGATTTGATGGGAAGTAACATGGAACAAAGCACACTGGGAACAGGACAAAGATAAGCCAACTGGATTAAATGACGAACACAACTGGCAAGGGTAAAGAGGGAAAGATCCTGAGAGGAAGAGGGTTGCCACGAGATAAAGAGACAGGAACGGGAACCCCCTGAAGGAAGCCATGCAGACAATATAAAAATGAAGGGCACACACCAGGCATAGAAGTCTATCTGTATCAGGATGATGGTAGAGATGAGAAATAGAGGGAAGCAAAATTGGTAAAAAGGAGGAGTAACCCTTGCAAGCCATTGAGGTCTTGGGAAAGAAGCAATGATCCAGATAAAGGAGATGATAGGTTTGGTGGTACAGTGTATGAGTGATGTTGATAGCCAACAGATCCAACTGATGCCACACTCAGGCCAAAAGGAGAAGGAAATACTCCCTAAATGATAGGTGAAACAAAGAGCATGAGGCAATGGGTTCAAATTTAGGTAAGGTAAGGGAATGGAGTACCACATTAATGTCCCAGTCTAGAAGTATTGGAGACCTCGGCAGTAGATGTATCCGGTGTAATGAATTTATTATTATGTATTTATTTTTAATATGAACGTTGTTTGGATTTAGAAATAGGCGTGACTTGTAGTATCAGATATGTGTTGCGTATAACGAATTTGTTATATATTTATGTTAATGTCAACATTTGTTTCAATTAAGTTTATATTTGAGGGCGTGTTTAGCTTACCGTGTTAGTTACGCACAGCGAAACTCCTGCCAATTCCTCAAGATTGTAAAATATTCGTGAACACAAAGAATCAACTTCCGTAACCAGTATATCAGAAGTTTCTAAAAAAAATGTGATTCGCCTATAAAAACAACCGACAACAGAAAAGAGACAAGTCTACTATGAAACTATTATAACTATGTAAGCTATAAACTGTGATTTTGCTAACCCCTATCAACCAGAAAATATACGACATTTGACCAGGAACAGTTATAGATTACGAACATCAGTGAATTCCCATTAAACTTTAATATCTCTCAATATTTCTCATCGGACATTAGTGATTTTATGAAAATATTATCTTACTTCAACGGTCCAACAATTCAGTGCCTGACAAAGCTAGCTAATTTTCCACCAATTCAAGGAGACTCTGAACAAATAATTCGATTTTAGGCTATTTGTAAGTTACTGAAATTTGTTTATGAAACTTGATTTGTAATAATTAATCATAATAGTTGCAATTGTAAATTAAACTGTTGTATATATAAAGGCTTATTTGTGTCATAAACAAAAACAGTGTGAATCAATCTTGTTGGCAAATAGCATAAATTAAATAAAATACTGGCATATTTCTAAACATTAAATCCAGGGTAGGTCTCAACTATTAAAAGTTAAATTATTTAACGCAGCTTTGGATTATTCCAAATTCTCAATATGTAACACCAAAAAGAATGGATCAAAATGGCAAAGACAGGGGAAAGAAAGATTCTGTGGTTACGAGAAAAAGGGAAAATATGGGATAGACCTCCCCAATAACCCAATATTGAGGAGACAAAACACCCCTTTTCATAAAGCCACATTAGAAACTCGGAGACACCAGCAACTGCAGAAAGAGAAGCTGGAATACCCCGAGCCAGGACCCTGTTGCAATAAACATTGAAGATGTCCATCTTGGTCATCAAAAGAACCGGAGAAAAAAACCCATCAAAGAGTAAGGTAGGATTCCATGTTGAAGTGTGGGATGTGAACATATCGACTGAGATGAGACAGTTTCAATGATTGGTATACAGTCCCATATTTTTGGGCACATAAACAGGCAGGAGTAACCCCTCTCCCCAAACAAAGTGGAGCAGATTTGTTAGCCTCAGATAGATGCAGGCATGACAAGGGATCCTGAGAAGGAGGAAAGGAAATGGACATGCAAGACAAGGGTGGAAGAGTAAGAAAAGGTATGACGAATCCCTCTGACAAAACTCGGTGAACCCAAATATTGGAGATGAAGGGGCTCCACTGATGAGCAAATGTCGCCAGATGAGCTCTCACTGGATCTGAACCCACCAGGTAGTCATCGGAACCACTGTTAGCGTACCATATGTCGTCAAGAAAAAAAGGAATTGGAAGGCGAGGGTCAGAAGACAGGAATCAGTGCCATGCCCAGCTCTGACTGTGACAAACAGGCCACCAGATGAGAAAGGGTGGATTGTTGTTGGACTGAAGCTACCCTTGATCCCAAAGACTCTGAGATCATGTCAAACACAAAATGTCTCAAAAATGGGGCCATACAAAGGTCCTGCAAATAAGGAGCCAGGAGACAGGTCCGTGACAATATGGCATCACGACCCAAAAGGTCTTAACAACAAATAAACCACGTTAGGAGGGCCAGAGCCGAGGACAACAGGCGGGCCAATATGGAAGTGAGGAGAGAGAGGACGTCCCCAGAAAACCCCTCAGGGTTCCTGTGAAGAGCCTCAGACAGGAGATGGATCAAGGAGAGGTACTACAAAAGTCATCAGTAAGGTTTCTCTGAAGAATTATTTAGGCTTGTACTAATGTGTTCTCCACTAACAATGATCATGTAGATGTTTATGAATACCTGAAGGATATGACCTCCCTCTTTTTACTTGTGGGATAACAAATGATGTGGTTGACAAATGCACTCTGAGAAAGCCCTACTGTAATATATATAAATTCACTAATTCTTGCAGTATAAACAAACTTCTGCAAAGTTCTACCTCATAAAGAGCACTCAACAACTGAAAAAAAGTATTGTCTTTTTGTTTTGCATACTCATCCTGCCTGTGCAGAGTTGTGTCTCTGTTTTATTCTCTAAACACAAGTAATACCTAGAATATAGTTCTTATTACATTGATTAATTGTCACAACAATAATCAAAGAATTGAAATCAGTGTTTATGATTATTCTAAAAATTCATTAATTGATATTAGATAAACCCTTTAAAGCCCACTGTTTGGTATCAGGCCACATTTGACCTTTTATTAATAAAAATTAATAACTAATGTCACCAAATCTAAAACACAGATATTTCAAACAAATAGCATGATAGTTATGAAATGTAAGTAAGATTTTTTTGTCCATGTATGACCTATAGTATAATAAAGACATTAAAAGCATGTGTCACATAATGATTAAGTTGCTAGCATAACATAGTAGGCCTAATAATGTCATATGTTAAAAAACTTTGTTGAAAGAAATGTTTGCATTAAAAATTGTCTAAAGTATTAAAATTAATATAAATAGATAGTATATCTCACTGTATTTTATGCATGAAACTTACCTATGGCTTCCTTTTGCTAATTTATGTAACATGTTCAAAAAGACATTGCATCTCTTACCTTCTACACTGATGATGGTAATGTAGAGCTACTAAAACATGTAGTCATTTAATTTTGTCCACAAGCCATATAAAATTCTTATTGTGCATTTTAAATATTGATTCTATTTTTAATTTTCAAATGTATAAAGGTTACATAATTATAAATAAACTCAGGAATATTTTAAAAACAAATAGTTAAAAAGACTGAAAAACAAGATTTCATAAAAATTAAGGTGTTTCAAAAAGGAGCAGTACTGTAAATTTATCAAGAAATTTTTAGGTACTTTCAGTTCAAACTAATAGTTTATATTACTTCTAGAAAGTAATAATAATATAACTGTGTGAATTTCACCAAATTTCATACGTTATAAAGAATCTGTAGAACTATTTTTGAGCTGTTGACTGACAACATACATACAAAGCAGTTTCTCATATTATCTTCCTTAATTTAAAACTTTTAGATTTTATCGACTTATCATGGGTACCTCAAAATATAATACTGCATCATTGATCATTATATTTGGGACTATAAACCTGCACAGGAAAGTATTTTTAGGTGTACTAAATATTTCATTCATTTTTCATAACCTTTGAATGCTGTTCCAGAAAATCAGACAGAATATTTACAACAGCCAGAAGCTCCACATAATCTTGGCACCTGTAGTAATGTATGCCCTTTAGTATATCTTCTAAGATTAGGTTTTTTCTTCTGGCCTTTTCCTCTGCAGAAAGAAACGTTTTTAATTCATATTATCACCAAGTATGTAGGCAGATTTACATTCACACTAAAGTATGATTTTAAAATATCACTAAAATAAACAGTAAATTATACCTAATCAAACCTGAATGATACCTTTTTTATTTTTGTAGACTTTAAGGTAAAGATTGAGTTAAAATAAAATATATAATTAAATTAAGAACCAGATGTAATAAATGATGACTAACTTGCTTTTTGTGAAAGCACAAAAATGAAAACAAATCTTTAGTTAGCTACTTTTAAATAAACTAAATTTTGGGCTACTATGTAATAATAAATAAAGTTTGAGTTACTAAAAGATGACTTAGTCAAACCCTCAGTTACCACAAATAAATTTAGCCTTCACTTACTACAACATCATTTCAATTAAGCTTCATATAATTACTTATTTAAACCTTAATTTAATATGAATAAATTTAACCTTGCATTGATACCTTAACCCATTAACTGCGGATGACGGATATTTCCGTCATTGAAGTTCTATGGCTCAGCTGCGAATGACAGAAATATCTGTCAGTTGCACATATATAACTATAACTCTATGCAAATGACGGAAACTACCATTTTATTGTGATTGATGGCAACTCAGTTTTATCTGCGAGTCAGAAAATGGCAACTGAGCTGCTCCTGTCTCAGTTAATGGGTTAAGCTAATACAGGATAAGTGAACTACATCTTGAACAATTAACTACAGAAATGTAAGGTTACTAAATTATACCTTCAGTTAATATGTGTAAATCCTGAAGATGTGCAAATGAAAACTGACAGTACTTTATCCTTCTATAACTAGGATAAGAATATACCTTATTCAAGCACATCAAGTTTATTTTTCAAACTTTTCATAAACATGTTCTGTACTTCCTTGCAAACAGAAGGTGATCAACCCAACCTTGTTCTAATCACCACCTCAAGCTAGATTTATATATGGCAATGGTCATCCAAGAGAATTTGAAATGGCCTGTGTGATTTCTCCCTTCAGGTGGTGAGTATATGCAAGTGGAGGAGTAATAAGGATGTTTACACAGTTAAGCAGAAACAAGGAACAAATTTTTCCTCCTTAAATGTAGGTAACTTTAGGTTATGGGATATCAAAGTAAGACTCTGGTCTGATCATAAATTTGTTATTAATACAATTCTTCCTATTTTTATTTTGTGAAAAGGTGTTTCACCCTTGTACTCCAACAGCAAAGTAGTACATCAAAAACTACATTAAAGACTAATCAGTTTATAAATATAACAGACTGCAACCAAATAACTGTGAATATTAATACAATAAGAAAATATGTGCAAATAAAGATTGTATTTCTATATGTTCAACCTGTGTCTGTCATTTTCTTGCACTTTAACTATACTTTATTCTCCTGCAATACATTTCTTAACAAACCTCTTCATATTTAATTTGTCTTGTAACTTACCTGTAGGTGACAGTTTTACATGTGAATACCACAGATTTAATTGTAAGTTACAACTGTGATGCCATAACCAAGAATATGTTTTTGCGATTTTTCTTAAACTATGCCTTTTTGTTTTATTTAACACTCTCTTTGGTGTTAACCTTGTAAATCTCAAAGAGGGGATATTACTTTCTCAAACCATGTATAACTTTTGACTGAGAGGAAATAGCTGGGGTTAAGGAGAGGGCAGAAACTGAAAAACTGTCATAGATTAGGAGAATCTCTCTCCTGGTGCAAGTGGTTGAAAGATGACTAGGAGAAACTACAGCTACTGGGTAAGCTTAATCTTTGTCAGTTACCTTCTGTATGCAGGAGTATAGGATAGCAATGTTGGGTCAAGATGGCTATGATCAGTTTGAGCATCATGAGATTGACTGGGGTGGTCTCTATGTGAAACCTATAAATATGATAATCAAACCATACGTCACCAAGTACAGTAGTCAGGGCCAGTTGTAGCATGGAAGATAGATGAGGTACAGTGTCAGAAATAGTCCAATACTTTAAGTCAACAACATTGCTAATTGGAGTGGTAAGCATCTCACCATGATCATACAAATCATTAGGGTAGACAAAAGAATTCAAATCTATCGAGGAAGACTAACATCACCCTAAAACCGGATTTGGTATCTGATGTAGAGCATAGCATGATTTAAAAATATATATTCCTATGTATTACAGCATTTTGCTTCCAGCCTTACACATGGACATGGCACTCATTAGGATATGTGTTACAAGGCTTGTACAATGACAGGGAGGCTTTTCTCAAACACTGGTGCCTTAGTCACATAATAGTACTGACAGTTGGGTCCTTCTTAGCACCTTGCTTCAGAGAAATAGTAATATGAAGCATGTTAACCCATATTGGTGTTTAAGGGGACAACAAGATAACTTGGCTGTCTTCTCAAATGTTAAAACCAGGTTGTCTTCTGGAACATCTGGATTCAGAGATAGGTGGTAGAGTGACTGGTGCTGATTCTGAACAGTATTCCATATGATGCCCTGAAACATACAGAAGAGGAGCAACTCATGGAGTGGAACAAGGAAAATGTTGAGTTGTGTCTTCCACAGTTAAAGGCTTGAAGTCATGGTCACATAAGAACTTGGACATTTATGCAAATGATCTGAAATTACTACTGGGGATGGTTCTTCCCAAACATGTCATATTTGGATGGGGAGGAAGCCTTTATCAAAAAGTTCATGAAGGAGCAGCTAAGAAGACCCACTTGGATCATATGTTTCATGAATATTTTATCTCTGACCAAAACTGAGCCAAATATTGGAGCAGAAAAAGATGCCACCTGCAATGTCTGATCCAGCTCTGGAGCAGCTTTAAGAGTATGTAATGACCACCACAGCTTCACAGAAAAGTCAAATTAAAACTCCATTGCTGTAAGTACCATTAGATGTTATGATGTAATTACCATGGCTCAACCACAACTGTAGCAGAAAAGGCCCTTTAGGAGATGTTTCAAGTATGAAGAATGGATCCCCTGTTTTACCTGAAGTTTAGAAACTCACTGGATTTAGCACTGTTACGCAAGACAAGAGGAAACAGGTTCAATTCAGATTGACACCACAAAGAACAATGGCTGTAGAAGCTTTGTCTAGTTTAAAACTGGAAGAGCTTGAGTGTAACCACCAAATCGGGCAGGGTGGCAATCAGAGCTTGCATAAAAAAACATACTGACAGGTTTGGAAAACCATGGGCTTAGCATCACAGACTATGTACTAGAGGCAATATATGGACATGAATTTAAGTTCTTTGCTCAACCTCATTGTGAATTAAGCACTCCAATTGAAGCCATCAATTCATCCATTAATACAATCTTTATTCTGGCAAGTGTTGACAAATAGAAAGGAAGTAAAGTTGCAACTTCTAACTTCTCACTGGTACTCTCATTCTCTAAATAAAGGCAGTGGTTTCCAAACATAATTGAAGAAAAGGAATTCTTGGAAATGGGCCTGCTGTAGTTGTCACTTAGTCTTGCCACTGCAACAAGGGATCTGCAGTTGTGTGAAAACTATTCAACGTTCATGATAATGGGTCCCAGAACAGTGGACTACATGTGTATCACTGTGGTGATTGAACTGATTCATGAGTTGCACTGTTTTCTGGCTACAAATGAGGCCTTTTTTTACTTGAATAATTAACTGTGTGAGTGATGGCATAATGCCAGTGCTGATCTATAATTATAAGACACCTAGTAAGCTTCCAACTGGAATGGTCATGAACAAGGTCCAGATAGAAAAGTAATGCAAATCTGCCATGTAGCAGACATCATTGTGGTTGTTCTACATCCAAAAGCAATTGAACAGCTTCCTGAGCATTCAAAGTTGTTATCTAAGGATTATGTTGGCAATCTGTATTCAAAAGAGCAACAAGAAGTCAGTAAATTGCTCACAAGGATTTGGTGATATTTTTGTGTGACCAGGTGATCATTTAGTTACAAAAATAATAACCTATCATCTCACAGACATAGATAACATATGCCCAATGAAACACCAAGAATGTTGCCTGTGATAAAACTGAGTGGATATTGAAGGTGAAATAATGTAACCTTTGGAGAGTGGCTTCATTTCCAGTAGTTGTCATAAGGAAGAAAGAAAAAAGATCAAGGTTCTATGTGGTCGTCAGGCAGATAAAACAATTATATCTTTTAATGCCTTTCCTTTAGTGCAGGAAAATTGGAAGGAATACATTGGTTCAATACTCTAGATTTGGTTTTGTAACTGACAAGTGGGCAATGAAAGTAGAATTCAGACTGCTTTCAGCACTTGAGATGGACTGTGTGAATTCTTTCATGCAATTCTGCCTGGCTAATGGAGATTACACTGAGAGAATACAATAGGAGAGATGTATTATACATGAGGTTGAAAGTTTGGTTTTTGGACATGTCACAGGCTGTTGAAACTAAGTAAATGTGCACAATGTGTATTGATATGGAATTTTCTGGTCATATTATAGATGCAAATAGTGTTAATCTTATGAAGGTTATAGTAATAAAGGAGTGATCCCAAACAAGAAGTTAACAGCTTTCTAGGTTTGTTTACACTATGTATGGTTTATGACAAAGACATATCTACACTGATAAATGTCCCTCCCAATAAATATTTGTCCTTCACCCATCCTTCTCAAAAAATACTGTTAGAAGAGAAAATAAAATACCCAGGGTTCCAATTGTCACTAACCTAATTACAGGCTAACACACATTAACCTTATCTTTACTTGTACTGAAAAAATCTCAAGCCCAAAGGCAAATAGCATCATCTTTCATATTACAATCTTGTTTTCACTTATTCAAAAAGAAATATTTCATTTACTGAGCTATATAATTTCAAATTCTTTTGATCACATTTTAGGTATATTTTGTTACATTACCTTATTGAGATAAAACTAGTTAAGGTGCTTAAATAAGTAGCTTAATACATTTAGAGAAACTACAATGCATATTAAGGTATTATGATGTATTTCCACTTTTAAAATAATAGTAATTACAGTTATTTCAAAGAGT